CCTATCACCCTTTAAACATTTCTTAAGTGCTTAGTACATGAATGAGTCTGTGCTTAGCATTTGGGATGAAATGATGAGCATGATCTATTTCCTATTCTTTAATATTTTTTATATGGTTTAGGCTTTGTACTTGTACCAGTAACTTTTTCTTAAAATGAAGTCTCCATATTCATAATAATATACCTCCTCTACTGCTTTACCTAGTTTATTCCAAGTACCCTTTCCATAAATTCGATAAAAAGATGCTTACTCTGTTTTTATGTAGTTAAGTTCTTCATTTTCCCAGTGTACCAATGCAATTTCATAGGGCTGAATCTCATGTCTTTCTAGAACTTGCATCACATGCTTCATCTAGAAGAAAAGAAAGATTAACCTGAAATTATCAGTGACTCCCTCAGGACAGGTATGTTATGGTGCTAATGCTTGTAACATTCTTCATTACGCTTAAAGGCATGTTTTTTATTGCATGTTTTTAAGGAAAAGGCAAATTCATTGTGATATTAAACTAATTGGGATGACATGTTCATTTGTTTTACATTTGGAAAACACAGATGAGTGTAAAGAAGAAAATCAAGATTATCCCAAAGAAAATCACTAGTAACATTACGGTTTGTATTCTTTAAATCTCTTAAAAAAAGGTAAAGCCCAACATCCTTATAAAAATTTAAGCAACACGGAAGTGTAGGAAGTGACCACCTCTCTCTGCTCTCTTGAAATCCTAATTCCCAGAGGTAACCATGATTAAATTTGGTGCATATCTTTCCAGACTTTCTACATGTATATGTGTACACATTTATTTTGCTTTTTATGTGAAATGGGATCATACTATGCATATGAACATTTTCAACGCTCAATGCTCCCTAATGGAGAAACTACAATTAATTTAATCATCCTAAATGTGCACCTATGGGGGATTATTTCCACTCTGCATTATTACAGTGTTGCAATGTGCCACACTTACGCATGCATCTTCATGGCCTTGTGGGAATACTTCTTTAGAAACTGCTAGCTCAAAAGACATGCATGTTTATTGTTTTGATAAATATTGCTAACCTGTTCTCCAAAACAGTTTCTCCAATTTTAGAATCTAAACATTTATGAGAGCACTCTTAAAAAGCACAGGGTATGATCAGCCTTTTACAGCTTTACAACTTGAAGTAGCCAATTTGTATTTTCTCATGTTTACTGGTCATTTATATTTCCTTTTCTCCAGGATCCCTCCCCGACCTGAGCATGTCTATTTGCATGTATGTATTTCCTTTTAGTAAAACTAGGATTATATGAAGTATTATTTTTTAACCAGCTCTGATATTATATGATATAATCTGCTCTTTTAACTGTATCATATACACAGGCAATTTCCCAGGAATACGTATTTTTCCATGTGATTTTTAAGAAGTTTAATATATTTTTATCCTGTGGATATATTTAACAAGCTTTCTATTATTGTGTGTTTTGGTTATTTCTTATTTTTTCTACTATAAATAATGCTTTGATGAACATTTCTGTACATAATTCATCATGTGTAATTGTTATTATTTCTTTTGGATAAATTTCTAGGTGTAAAATTGCTGAGTTAAATATAAAACTTTGCTGTAGACTAACAGACCACCTCTAAAAAAGTTGTATTTAAACAAATCCTCATTTGGGTGTTGAGCAAATTATTTCCCGTGAGTGATAAGTGCTAGAAAACTTCATCTGAGACTCAACGCAACCAGCTTCCAACTAATTGCACATACATTATTCATTTTGTATATTATCACATGCAAAGTATACTGTGCTTCCTTCTGGCTGTCTGCAGTGTAGCTAGGATGATTCCAATTCTCCACAAATTAGTGTGTGTCCAGCGAAAGGAAAATGCTGGAAACTTTAAGCCAAAATACAATGTATTTTGGAAGATGAAACTGATAAGATAAACATCACATAATGCAGATCAAATAAGTTGTGCATTAGCTGTTAATTTCTCTTCTAATAGCTCACAATATTGAGTGACAATTAACAATTCATCCTCATAAAACTATAATTTTTTACTTTTACATTTACACTTACAGTTTTGTCTTTCACATTCCAAAACACAGCAGCTCCTTCCCTGATTTAAAAAAAGAATCAATATCAAAATAGAAAAAGGTAAAGGTACAATACATTCTTTAGGGTCATATATAAAGCCATGCTTAGGTATAACTTCTAGAATGTGTCTAGGATGTAATTTTTAAAAATATGATTTACTTGCTAATTTGACATTATGGTACTTAGATGAACTTGCTAAAATAAGAGCTATTATTTAAATTCTTGAAAAAAACCTGACCTCTAAGAAATTCATGATTGTTCTCATGGTTTGCAGAATAAATAGCTATTACTACAATACTATATAACTTCATGTATCTAGACTCTTTCATAACCAGTTCAATTCTGATTCACAGAAATCAGAATAAGGAAATTTTTTGAGACCCCCATCTTAGCTCTCATTAGGTAGATTCTGCTGTGGGCAAAGAATAACTGATCATGCTTTTAATAGTTGTGTAATGAAGTGACTGAGATCAATTAAAGCCTCAGTTGACTAAAAGCCTCTATGGAGTAATGCCACCCATCCTTACAGTGCTTAGAACAGAACTATAATGAAGCCATAGGATGCCTTCTGCATCCAATTCTGACTTTAACAGAATTGTAGGCCTAAAACTATAAATGCACTTGTTTGATTTCTGAAGTTTGATGAGTTGTTTTAGGTGGTAAATAAAATGAGTTATGGCTCTGGGTTACTGCACTGGGGCAAGGAAAGGTAGAAATGGAAGAAAGGTAAAAATATCATGACCCCCTATCATGCTTTAAACATTTCTTAAGTGCTTAGTACATGAATGAGTCTGTGCTTAGCATTTGGGATGAAATGATGAGCATGATCTATTTCCTATCCTCAATCTAGAAAAGACTGACATTTGGACTGCCAGTTACAACAGTGTGTGATCAGTGCATAAGAGAGTTCTGCGGAGTATCCTATGGGCTGTATGCCAGAGGGACACCTCTCCTAAGAACTAGCAGAGCACAAATGAGGAAATGAGAGGAGCCAGCAAGGCAGAGGAAACACACAGGCTCCGGGAGGAGGTGGGAGTATGAGAATACATAGCTAGTGGCCGCGTGGCTGTGGATATAGTCAAGTAGTGGGCAACTAGGTTAAATAGGGAGGCAGGAACCAATTCATGAAGGAACTTTATGCAATGATACAGAGTTCGGTCAGATTCCACAGAATTTTAAGCAGGAGTGATCAGAAATGCCTACTGCAGAATGACCCTCCCTACGATCGACACGCAGTCTGGTGGTGGGGTGAGCAGGCAGGCAGGGAGACCAGCAAGCAAGCTGCTGCAAGAGGCCAGGAGAGGATCTCAGGATATGGATTCAGGAGAGGGTATTTCAAGGCACAGCCACAGTATCAGTTCAGAGAATTACTTCCAGGCATAAGAGTGGGCCAGTGAATCACACACTCCTTCATCTAGAGTCGTGTGTGTCATACGGTGCTCAGAAGCCGCATGTGGCCATGGTGCACTGGAAATGCACCTGGTAAACCGGGATGTGCTGTGTGACACATATAGCAGATTTCAAAGATTTTGCATGAAAAGAAGAGTGGAAAAATCTCATTAATGATTTACTAATTACATGTTGAAATTATTTTAGCTATGTTGGATTGAATAAAATACATTATTAAAATTAATTTCAGGAAGCATATGATACTATTATTTGTGTCATTCAAAGTTAATTTCATTTTAAGAAAAATGTTTTTAAATGTGGCTACTAAAAATGTACCTGCATGATATTTCTACTGGACAGTGCTGATCTAGAGGTCCTCAGAGATCTAAACTCCTCGCTCGAGGGATGCTGTTACTCTATTTGGACTAAATTTGAAATTTTGATTATCTTGAAAGATAGGGTCAAAAGGAAGGTAGGCATCGAAAGGAATAAAGATAGGGCTTCCAGTTATCACCAACTATAAGGACTAAGACGACAAAAACGTTATTCGAGTTTGGATTCTTATGGATGTCCCTTGTGTTTCTGTGCGGCCACTTATTAGTCCCATGACCATGCGTAATTTGCTTAATCCTTCTGACCCTCAGTTTCCTCAGCTGCAAAATGGGAATAATAGACCTTCCTGAAGTGTAGTGAGAACATTACAGGATTATTTTACCTGCTTTCTGTTATCATTATCACTCCCAGTCAGCTACTCTGGAGTATTTGGTATGAAGACAAACTTTAAATAAAAGGAATAAGTGTATGTGAGTTAGGATCCCAGAGTAAAGTCTCTGGAGAAGAAAGGGGTGCTAAAATATTAGCTAAAGAGCTATAAAAGGAGAATAAAGAAAAGGAAGAAATTGGTAAGGAAGGAAAGATAGCAGGGGAGGTAGCCTGATTAGGGGCACTGAACATGAATGAGAAATAGGATGCTTTACATAAACTTAGTCAATGAAAATCCACATGCACGAAGCAAGACAAACCAGGGGAAGATTATTTACTTGTTTTAAAAATTCTTTATTTCATAAGAGGATTTACCAGAAAATTCCTAAAACTGACAAACTCTCTAAGATCAAACAAGAATTAAATGATAAATTTAAACCCTGAGTACGTTTTGAGCATCTGTACGGTTAAGAGAGGTACACCTGCCCCTTTAAAGACCAAAATTACCTGCCATGAACCCATCTCCGAGTCAGGTTTCTTTCCTGTCTTACCTAAAGAAGAATATTGTTCCAGGATCACCTTCTTTTGCAGAATTTTCCACACCCATCACCAAAATGTTTGCTGCATCTGTGATTTAAAATAAATGAACAAAAAGCTATGTCACAAGGTAACACGAAGTGTAAGAGTCACCTATAAACATTTTATTTATTTATTTTTATTTTATACTTGCCTTTACGCAGTTCCTGGCGTACCTATAAACATTCTAATAAAGTACCTATGATCATTTCTTTTATACTAAGAAGTATGCTATAATGCAATCTCCATCTTTCTACTAAGTTTTCTGAAAGGATTTAATATATAAAAATGTGACCATAAGAAATTACTTCCATATAACATTCAACAACCTGTGATATTATTATTAGTGCTATTTAAAACTGCTCATTCACACCGATTTTGATTCAATAATCATCAATCCAGTTTATATATATATATATATTTTTTTTTTTTTTTTTTGAGACAGGGTCTCCCTCTGTCACCCAGGCTAGAGTGTAGTGGTGTCAATCATAGCTCACTGCAACCTCAAACTCCTGGGCTCAAGCAATCTTCTTGCCTCAGCCTCCCAAGTAGCTGGGACTGCAGGTGCATCGCCACGCCTGGCTAATTTTCAAAAAAATTTTTTGTGGAGACAGGGTCTCACTATTGCCCAGGCTGGTCTCGAACTCCTGGCCTCAAGTGATCCTCCCACCTTGGCCTCACAAAATGCTAGGATTACAGGCATGAGCCACTGCGTCTACCCCCAATTCACAGTTATTAAAGTCTTAGCTTCAATACTACTAAGCTTCAACAATTAAACTTCTTTCTACAAAATTAATTTAAAATAAAATTTGAAGTATTAATATAGTCTCTTCCTTTAAATACCATTTTATTAGTAATATAATTTCAGTATTTCCAAATTATTCATTTTGCTGAATTTTAAAATATATAAAGTGTGGGGAACAGAAAATATAAAGAAATAAAGATACTGACCATTTCAAAACAAGGTTAATCATGAGAACTACCACTGTAGCCACCTGTAACTATTTAAAAATTTTAACCTTTTCAATATTAAATATTATTAAACACATACTAATTACCAATATTTATCATTTATCAGTAAGCAGTTGCTTTACATATTAATATTTACATATCAATATTTATCATAAGTATATATCCTATAATGTAACTTATAGACTATATGCTAATATATCAATTAATAAATATATTAATAATTTTTAAAAACTATATATAATTTTCTGACACAAAACTAGGATCCTAAAAGCTTCAGAATTCCTGGTAGTGGTGGGGGATTCTGACATAGACCAAATCCTAAACTACTTTTTTTTGGTGAACTCTATCTTCCCTAAGTACTGTATCTTACACAAGACAAAGTTTCCTTATCCAGCCAAGAGCAACAGAAATTAGATGGAAAAGACCCAGGGCAAAGAAGCCCTCAACTCTACAATGCACAAAGCCACACTGCTGGCAGCCTTCAGTGTCAGCCAACAATACCCCCGAGCAACTTTTCATGTTAGGGGCTCTGGACATAGCTGTTTTTCTAAGTCAACTATGCTTGTTTTCATCATCAAACAGCACAAATAATCTGTTCAGATCATCAAGGCTAAAAAAGCACAATGACATTTCAACTGTTTCTTATGAGATTAATGACTCTTAGGAATTTTCTTTGTAGCTGGGAGGTTTTAAATCTATTTTTGCTACTCTGAGGTAAATTCATAAATTTTCTGTGTATTGGGCTATCTTGAATTTCACTACAAAACTTTCTTTCATCAAAATTTTCTAAGTTATTTATTTTTTTAATGTAAAGCAGGCTATTTCATCAAGATTTCTTCCTGATACTATCCTAAAATCCTGAGTTACATTTAATTTTCTACTGTTTTATACTCCTGGTGTTTTATCTTTTAACTAATTTTGTCAGTTTTAAAGTATTAGACTGAACTGGTAAATTTTTTTCAAGGGCTCTTCTCATTTCGATCAATTTCATGGTTCTTCTGGAATACAAAAATAACTTTTTAATGTAACAGAAATGAAGCAGCATGACCTTTGACCACCCCAAGTAATAGTGATCCTATAAACGAAGCATAATAAATCATATTAATTTTAATCTGAGAACTAAGTTCTCCACAAATACATTTTATTTTCTTTATATGTCATTTGTATAAAGAGATTCAACACCACTTTTATGATATAATCCTTTCAAAAGAAAAGGAAATGCAAACAAATGTACACTTAAAATAGTATCCTAAAAAAAATTATCTAATACATTTTAACATACTTGGCCCCAGGTTCAAGAAGAAGTACCTCTAGGCAAGCTTGTTATTTCAACAAATCCGTGGGAGGTCAGCTCTTGAGACAGATTTCCCAGATGATATTCATCTGCAGTTGCAAATGCTGTGCAGTGCATCAGGTCCTGTTTCAGGGAGATGAGCACAACACAGGTCACCAGGAGGCTAAACTGCCTGTGACGGCTTCTGGGCTGCTTTATGGAACTCCATTCTGCAAAGCTAGCACTGTGTTTTCTTCCAACATCTCAAAAGTTCATACAAGGGATGCAATGAGGATGAAGAGAACAAAGTCACCCGGAGACACATCTCAGCTCAATCTACTGAAGAACCTGCTCTTACTAGATAAAGGGATGGAACGGATTATCCTGAAAGGGACGCCACTAACTGACTGGTAGTGTTTCAAGCACAAAAGATATAGAGGATTACGGTATCATATGGGTGAATGGATGAAATGATATTTAGAGTCTCTCCAACCCTGACTTTCCATGACTTTTTTTCATAGCAACTTTAGTATTTGAGGTCATTTTCTAACTTGTCACTAGCCTTATACAGGCAGAGAGTCCTTTAAATCCCCAAAGGAATTACAGTATTTCTACTCTGGTTAATAATACTAAACAAAAAGGCCTGTAAATCTGAGACTGTGTCCTGGTTTGGTTAGTACTTTGGTTCATGCACTGTAAGTCTTGTCCATGTATACACGTGGATATTCACGTAGTAAGTGTCTATACAATAAACATATGGTATATGGCACGATGCACTGTTTTCTTCAAACTACAGGTCACAACCTGTTAGTGAGTTCTGATATCAATTTAATTGGCCCAAACTAGCTTTTCAAAAAAACTAAATAGAATAAAATAGGAAATACTACAGTATATTACTCATAGTAAATGCATATGAAGTTTTCTTTCACTTGTATATTTAAATATATTTCTTACTATGGGATGAGGTCAATAAAGTTTGAAAGCTATTGGCAATAAGAGTTAAGATTTCAGGCATGCAATTTGATTAAAATTTTTTTAAAAATGACTGTAATAATGCCTGCTTTATAGGGTTGCTGTAAAGTTTAAACAAGCTGATGAATGTAAACTGCTCAAGACTATGACACAAATGTTCAACATTTGTTCATTATAGTTGGTCAAAAGAAGTTTATGAGTCACTAAATCAACATTTATTCTTAGGACTTCTTATTCTCAGCTCCCAAATTCCTTCCTCTTCTGTTACATTCCTACTATGAAATTCTAGAGAAGTAGTATATTAATTCCTTTCTTCCTCCCACCTCTGTTCCTTTACTCTCCTAAGAAACAGCCTGACCCTGCTTCGCCTTTCCCTCAATTTGGTACACAGTTCCAACGTGTGGTTTAGAAAGCAGCAGAGGAATAAACAGAGGACTTGGGCATCCACATAAACTGAAAAATCTAAAATCAATAAAATATCCACTCGTAAGCAAAATAAGCTTAATTCAATTAGAAAAAATGAAAAGTCAGACAAGTTGAAATTATTGGGGAATGTGAGGATAAGTGGATGCAGTACACTCGTGATTAGCTGATAATGGATAAGCTAATTCCCATAGTCCCACATGAAAGTAAGAACACTGGTATATAAGCACATGTGGATCAAGAGAGCCAGAGCCTAGACAGTTACTGGAGTATAGGGATCAGGTATGTGCTTAAGGTTTAGACTTTCGAGCACTAGCTGTTCCTTCTCAGACTCTACGGAGTTAAAAAGAGGTCCTGGGATATGAGTATAGAGATCAACCTGGCTGAAAGAAAGGAGTCCTGGTAACAGGCATCAGGTAGGACCACAGCAGGCAGGCTCTATTCTGTGAGACCTGACAAATCTACTCAAGCCTGCCACGTAAAATCACAGTTGGATGTCAGAATTACTACTGTGACTGCTACAGTTGATATGCTTAGTTTGGGCTGGAGTGGGAAGAGCAAGAGGCCCAAAAAGGAGGTAAGGAGGTCAAAGGCTAGTTCAGTGAAGGATCTCCCCATAACTGCACTGAAAATGGTAGAGGCTTCCGCTTTCTAGAATCAGAGTCAGCTCAGAGAACCATCCAACTCAAGAGTGGACCTGCATAGCACTTGTAAAACTGAGCTGATTGTCAACAGCATGAGAGATTACATACAAAATCGAGATTTCCACCATCTCTTGATCAAGTAGAAGATCTGGTGCTAATGGCCTAGGATAGAGTGGGCAGGGGTAGGTTTTCCCACCCACGCAGTCCCTACGTCTCTCCGTTGTCTCAGGCCTGCTCCACCATCATTTACGTTACTGGTCAGGCCCGTCTGTGCCAAAATGCATAGTATCTGGAACTCTCAAGGACAGGACAAGGCAAGTCATTCAATCACTATTTTTATGAGAAAATATATTCTGAGCTCCAAATAGATTATGAATAAACCTTTAAACACAATGTTTTTCCTTAGCCATTCCCAGGACCTTTGTTATAAGTCTTTTGAATTGTCACCTTTCCTTCTCAGCATCTCCTATTTAGTTTGGCTAAACGTTCTGTCCAGTGTCATGCAGCTTACATGGCCTGCCACACTCCTTTCTGTATCCTCCTTAAACTTCTTGGATCTGAGTCTCTGTTTCAGCTATGGGCTGCTTCTATTAATAGATGATTCACCAGTTTAAAAATCTGACTTCTTAGGCCGGGCACGGTGGCTCACACCTGTAATCCTAGCACTCTGGGAGCCCGAAGCGGGAGGATTGCTTGAGCTCAGGAGTTCGACATCAGCCTGAGCAAGAGTGAGACCCCATTTCTACTATAAATAGAAAGAAATTAGCCAAACAACTAAAAATAGAAAAAAATTAGCCGGGCACAGTGGCACGTGCCTGCAGTCCCAGCTACCCGGGAGGCTGAGGCAGGAGGATTGCTTGAGCCCAGGAGTTTGAGGTTGCTGTGAGCTAGGCTGACACCACGGCACTCTAGCCCGGGCAACAGAGCGAGACTCTGTCTCAAAAAAAAAAATCTGACTTTTTAGACATCTTGTTTTTGTTTTGTTTCCTTTGCTTTTAAATTTCAAGTTTTTTTTAAAAGTCTATTTGGTAAAGGGAAAAAGAACTACAGAGTGACTTGTCTTTTTTTCCTACTAATTAAAAATGCCATTACTTTTAAAAGCTTTCATTTTCATACATGTCTTTCTGGATTTTTATAAGGAATCTTTATTTATTAAGCATTAATTACATGTATATATATATATATAAAGCAAATTTCAGGTTTTAGGATGGGGATTAGCAACTTGCTCTTAAACAGATGTGGCAAACCAACCTAAAATAGTTAACTTAGGGCTTTTCTATTTTAAAGTGTTAAAAAAAACCAAAAAACAAAAACAAAAAAACCCCAAACCACAGTATTTCAGTATGTGTTTTGTTTTTCTGGCAACAGAAGACATGTTCCAGCAGATGGGGCTATAAATCTATGTATGATTCTTGTTTTAGTAGCATCACATGCTCTGACAGAACTCTTACCAAAAAAAGCTTATTTTTATTCATGCTCTATTACTGAAAAAAATTAATGTACTATGGCAATATTGCTTCTCTATTACTCTGATGTTGTGACATAATAAATTTTATTTGGTCTTTGTCCTCGGTTTCTGGCACAAAGCTCCTAAAACCCTCGTAATGTCCTAAGTAATAAGGGTGATGATAGATAAGAGCATTTTTTATTGTGATATTTGGTCTCTGCCTTCAGTTCCAAACACAGAGTTTCTAAATCCTTTGGAATTTCTTTAGTAAGAGGAACATCTTTTGTTTTAATGAGCTGACTGCTGGTGGGCTCCTGGATAGCTTCAAGATGGGGGCTAGTTGCCAGGAAGAGCAAACCTGGATTAGAGGCCTGGAACTCTGAGCCCCACCCCTGGCCTCTGGGGAAGGGAGAGGGCTGGAGATTAACAATCGATCATGCCTATGTGATGAAATCTCCACAGAAACACCTACGCAATGCGCTCTGGAGCACTTCCAAGTTGGTCGATGCATCCACATGCTGGGAGGGTGGCACACACCATTCCACAGGAACAGAAGCTCCTGTGTTCGGGGCCCTTCCAGACTTCGCCCTGCGTACCTCTTCATCTGCCTGTTCGTCTGCATCCCTTAGAATTCCCTTTATGATAAACTGCTAAACATAAGTAAAGTGTTTCCCTGTGTTCTGTGAGCCACTCTAGCAAATTATCAAACCCTAGGAGAGGATCATGGGAAGGCCCGATTTATAGCTGGTTGGTTGACACCAGGGACTTGTGACTGGTGTCTGCAGTCGAGGGCAGTCTCGTGAGACTGAGCTCAACTGTGGGGTCCGCACTAACTCTGGCTAGTGTCGGGACTGAACTGAATTGGACTCTGGACACCCTGCCAGTGTCCAGAGAGTTGGAGAATTGGTTGGTGTGGGGAACAAACCACACGTTTGGTGTCACAGAAGTACTGTGAGTAGAACTAGATCATATTTACTACGGGAAAAATGCATCTTTTCCTGCAATGTATTGATTGGAGATGAAAGTTACAAAGCACAGATACAACTTACACTACCAGTATAATGTGTTAACTTGTAAGTTTTTTGAGTACAAGCTATAATGAGAAATCATTTTATATACACAATACACATACACGTGCATACACACACCAGTAACTCTCACAAAAGCTTCACAAACGACTATTCATCTTCACCGTGAACAATGCATTCCAATATTTTCTATTCTATTTCATTTTTTTAAAAATGATTAGCAACCCGCTAGCAATTTTACAACACACTGTGCTGTTAGTCTCCTTCTTGTGCCAGGTTCCATGCTGCTCTGACCAGCGGTTCTCATCCTGTCATTCTTCCCCTGAAAGATGGGACAGGAATAACACGAAGCACTACTGCTCTTACAAACTGTAAACCAATGGGATGTTGGTTGAGTGTCTCAGTAGGTTATGATCTCTGCAAATGGGACCAGGTAAAGACTTAATTCCAATATAGAGGGTGACTGAAACCTCATTTGGCCAATTCCAAACACATGGTGCTCAGCCGAGGTAAATGGATGAGCTCAGGAGCCACTGTGGGAACGAGACCAAGTACATACACATGCTTTCTGATGCACAGCAGGGTCTTTCCCCTGTCTCAGTGACGAGTGGTATAAAGGGTTACCCTGTAACAAAGGACTGACCAGCCCCACGGTACCCATATAAAAATGAAGTGGTTCTCAATTTGGGGCTGATGAAAGTCAGTCTTCAGTCCAAGGGATGTATTACCTTGTTACACCTCAAGATTGCTTTCTCTATGAAAAGTAAAATCCTCAGAAAATGATGTTCCAAAATTATATTACCTTGGATCACTTTTGAAACATATGATTTTCTATTATTTTCCTGTGCTTTTAGAAAGACAACATACGGTTTCTGTTTCTGCCAAACTCCAACTAAAGTCATTGTCTATTATGTTACATAATGTCTCCTATAAAAGGACCCAAGAAATAAATGATTTCTTAACTTCAGTGCTGGAAAAGGTTGTTTTTCTTAAGATATTTTTGTTTTTCTCTATCTCCCCCTGAACAATAAACAACAAACAATAAATTCCAGGAGGATTTTCTCTTTAATTGTTGGGATTCTCAGAACTAAATGTTCAACCAGATCATTCATACCAGGTAATTTATTTCTCTGTTTACATCAGCTGTTTGCTCTGACTTAAATAAATGTGATAGCATTTATTATCTCATTTGAAGTGATGTTGAATTTTGAAAATCTACTTCAAATCCTTTCCTAGAAAGAAGCAGAGAAAAAAATCCTGAAGAAAAATAAAAAATAGAATTCAGGAAAATTGCTTCCAAGTCTAGGGACAGCCCAAAGAAATAAAGCCTCTATGATAGTTCACAACCAATTGCTACAAAAAAAGGGACTACTCTGACCATATCAGCTTCTTCCTAAGAAACCTGATGCATTGTGCTGCTGGCTATAACAAAAGAAAAAAATGAGTTACTCTTTCCCTTTTTTGGATATGCCCTGAATTCAGGTTTTTACACTTAACATCATCTCAGTCACTTAAATACTGAATTTCCCAGACTACCCCAAAGCTCCAGGCAGAAGGAAGGGGGACCAAGTACCTGCACGAAGCTTCCATGCTTTACATCCTGGGTGCAGGAAAACCAAGCAAGAATTGAAACCAAACTACAGTCCAATACAAAAACTGTCTTAACTCTCGGTTTCAGAATCTGAGGATCACTGAGACAAAGGCATGTGTATCTTTGCAAGGGATGTCAGCCACACAGTAAAAAAACAAAAAAACACAGCCCAAATCAAACATGATCAGGATCTACCTCTCAGAATCGAGATTTGAAGACATTCTAACCTGTTTTCTGATAGATTCAGGAGGCCTAATCAAGTTTAAAATATCTACACTCCTATTTTTAATGTTGATGACTATTGACGTTAAAGATCCCTTTGCCTCTTTTCAATCCTTTCCAATTTAATAAACATTCATTAAGTACAAGGCACAGTTCCAGGTATTACGCAAGATACAAAGGTGAACAAAGAAAAGGGCTTGGTCCTGACCTTTAAATTGCTTATTACTCAGAGGCGAAATGCACACTGCAGCTGAAAACTTCCCAGAAACCTCTTTAATGGTACATAAAAAATACCCCCTTAAACCTTCAGAGGATAAAAAAGCAAAATCTCTCTCACTGCTTTTCGAATCTCCCTTGCCACGTCATTTCACCACCCGACGCAGAGTTACCACAGGCTGCCGAATGCTCACCTCTCTGCACGGTTACAATTTTTCTTAATTTGGTGGAAAATTTCTAGTTTGAGTTTTTTTTAAATGGGCACTTTTTTACAGTTCCACTCTTACACTGGACTTAATACTAGTCCTGTTTTTCAAAGTTTCGTTAGACCAATAACTAATCCTTTCATACACTGTATTTTTATATTTTATTGCCTATTTTTGTTTTTATATGTATCACTAATTCTTAAAATTTAAGATTTTGATTCCCTTTGGACATATTAGGCTTCAAAGATCTTTTTTTTTTTTTTCTGGTCCAGTGAAGCAGTGGGAGTGGAGAAGGAACAAAGGAATCTGTAACTGGTTTGATCAATTAATTATCAACACCACTGCACTCGGAACAACCAGGTTTCAAAGATCTTGGTGAAAAAAGTCTAGGTTGGCTGCCAGTTCTCTTACGTGAGCAGTAAGGCTGTGGTGCAATGCACGCTAGTTTAGAAAGTGAGTGATGACTGCTAAACGCAGGTGCGACAACCACACTGATTTTACCTCGTTCACAGACAGAACTGGAAGGTTGGTCCTGGACGGTTGCCTGGTCCTGGATGCTTTTAGTGATCTCTTGATCGGCGGAAGGTCTTGTTTCGGAACAAATGTTTCAGTTGATATAGACGAATGATGCCTCTTTAATATTTTCATAAACCATTTAGGACCCAATAGATTTGGTTTGCGGGTCACTTTCCTGTGAGTACCAAATGATTTCATGGTTGGAGAGTGCGCTTTTTCATCCTGGCAATGTGTAGCATTTAATGGAGAGAGTGTGCCTGTATTTGATATTTTCTGGTTCGTTTCCAGGATCTGAGACTTACTCAAACCACCAGCTGAAATATCGGGAAAGAACAAATCCAAGTTTTGATGCATTGTCAGCGTGCTGCATGTCGCATTTTCAAATTCCTTAAGTGGTTCTAACGTTAGATGAACAAGTCTTTGGCACTGATGGGCTTTTGACAATATACGGTGAGATCCGGCCAGGGCTCTGAGAAGTCTGGCTGGCATTACCACATCCAAAACTAAAAGAAAAAGAATTCAAAGTTCAAAGCTTTTTTTAAAAATGTTTAAAATATATATAATATTTTCCTAGGCAATATGCATATTTCTTTAAAAAATTTCCCAAACAGATACATCTTAACCTAATTCTAGTAAAAGAACAAGGTTAAAAAAATAAATACAGTGTTTCTGCCTCTTTTCCTTTAGTCAATGTTTGGCCTTCTTTCTGGAACATTACAAGATTATAAAGCTAGTGACGTGACAAGGACCTTAAAAAAGAAAAACAGAGTGATAGGACCTCTTATTTCATTAGCATACCAATTTAAAAAATCTGTGCTTACAAATTCCTTTATTCAATATTTATTCAGCCTTTACAATGAAACAAGACATGAACTGGGGCCAGGGATGCATCCAGGAGAGCACAGGGCACCTGCCATCGTGGTGCTTAGGTCTCCAGGAGGAGACAGGCATTTTCAACTGCTCATTATAAACCGGTGGAACAGACCTTACCATTGAGCTATAGCATTTAGATGCTGAGGAAGCACACAAAGAGCTCACCTAATTCTACAGGAAGAGGCAGGAAAGACTCCCAGAAGATATAATCTGCTTCTTGAAGAAGAAGGTGCTTTTCGGGTTGGGGCTGGGTACGGGCATAGGCATATCAGAAACACACACACACTCGAGACAAAGGAAACAAACTGTATATGTAAATAATTTCCCCCCTTATTTACAGTATAAAATGTCCTTTAAAAGAAAGCCCACAGTAGGTAATCAATAATAATTTTTTTAAAAAATAACAGGTGCTAGAGATACAAGTATGATCTCAGAATTGACAGTCTAGCAGAGGAAATAGAATCATAGGACACAAAAATTGCTGAGGTCCAGGGAAGGGAGCATTTAGGGTGAGGGGTGAGTCACAGAGGTGACTCTGAACTGGGACTTGAAACGGCAAAGGGGTCAGCAAATCGAACACCCCAAGGTACACAGTCTTACTTATCTGACAGAGTGCAACCTCGGGGGAGGCAGGAGGGAGTGGCAGGAGATAAGGACTGAAAAGGAGCCAGCAGCCAGATCATGAAAAGATCCATTAAGTCATCCTAAAGAGTCTTTACAGGTAGGGGTAAGCCAGAGCTTAAAAATAAGAATGTCACATGGTCAAATGTATTTTTTTTAAGATGGGGTCTCGCTCTGTTGCCCAGGCTGGAGTACAGTAGCATGATCATAGCTCACTGCAGCCTCCAACTCCTGGGCTCAAGTGATCCTCCTGCCTTGGCCTCTTGAAGTGCTAGGATTACAGGTGTCAGCCACCACACCCAGCCTAACTCTTGATGGTTTTTATATCCAAGTAGATCAGTGGTGGGGATGATTCTTCCAATTCTCTGGCCTGTGAGTTACCTGATCACTTTTCCTGAGTGATTGTGTTATCCACTGTCCCTCAGCTACTCACTCCTATGGTCATATGGTCTGACCCATATAGTAGCCACTAGGTGACACATGTTGCTACTGAACACTGGAAATGTGGCTAGTATAACTTGAAGCTTGATTTTTTAAAAAATACAAAATAGCTCAATAATTTTATACTGATTACTTGTTGAAATATTTTTGGATACATTGGGCTAAATACAATCATTAAAACTAATTTCACTTGTTTATTTTTACATTTATCAATGTAACTTCCAGAAAGCCTAAGATTACATTTGTGGCTTGCATTATATTTCTACTGGATAGCACTCACCTTGTCATTATCAGTAAGTGCAACCTCACATTCTCAATTTCATGCATTCTACTCACCAAACACAACCTATCTTTCCAGCTCACTCCTTCTATTATCCAATACAACAATTCGTCAACCACAATAGGACAATTCAATGTCCCAACCACCTTTTCACTGGGTCTCACTCCCTATGACTTCACTTCCTCCACATCCAGTTTATAGTCCACGGTCTACCATTATAATCTCTCCCATACTCAAATCCTTAAATCTCCTGCATCCCTCACTCTTCCACAAACCCAGGTGACATAATCTCAACCCTAATTAAATATAATTCACCTAAGTTGTGCCAGCATTCCTGCAGCTGAACCTGGCTGGAGACAACCAACCAAGCTGTCTGATCTCACTCTAAAATCATGACCACTCACTTCAGGCAGGCCTTTCATGCTGCTCAACAATCTCACTATATTTCCCCACTATATCCTACTCTGCTTTCTCCTCAAAACATCAAGCCTCCTCCTCCTTTCTCATTCTCAATAATGGCCTGGTCAACATACAAATACACTGTCTCTACGAAAAATTTTAAAAAGTTATCCGGGCATGGTGGTGTATGCCTGTAGTCTCAGCTACTAGGGAAGCTGAAGCAGGAGGATCGATTGAGCTCTGCAGTTGGAGGTTACAGCAAGCTACCATCATGCCACTGTACTCCAGCCTAGGAGACAAGAGTGAGATCTTGTATCTAGGAAAAAAATTTTAAAAAAAGGAAAGAAAAAAAGGCACAACCAGCACCCATCCTCTATTTTCCTTCACTTTACATTTTGCCGTTGTATTTAACATCGCTTGCATACTTTACTAATTCACACAACATGGACTGAGTTCTTACCATGTGCCAGGCATTGTCCTGGTTCCCGATACAGCAGACAATAAAATAGACAAAAATCCTTACCTTTTGAAACCTGGCTGTGACAAACAATAAACATGGTAAATCAGTAAAATGTACGTTAGTGACAATGCTAAAGGAAAAAAGATAGAAAAGGATGGAGTTTTGTCAGCTCTTTGAGGATAGAGATTTTTGAGTTTTGTTTATGATCAAATTTCCTGTAACGACAGTACCTAAAACATAGTAGGCATTCAATTAAATTTTTAAAAATGAAATACAAGGCAGTTATTCAGTTCCTGGGCACGTTTTAACATTTACAAAACAATAATACCAATTAAGAAAAAAGTTACAGCTAGGCTAAGATTTCAATGGACAAGTGGCTCTAATCTTTGGGAGTATGCGTTCCAATTCCTTAACCTCAAAACTATTTTATTGAACTTTGCAGTTATCACTCTCCACTGGCTCAATAAAGGGTCCATCAAGTGTTTACTGACTGAGTGCTTTTTACTCCCTGCTAAGCCGGCCAAAGATCACTGCAAGAGGCAGGAGGTCATAGCGGTACTGGTGTAAGGGAGAGGGTTCGCGCGGCCGGGAGCGAAGGCAGAAACCTCAGTGCCGGACCATGCACGCGTCTAGGGAAAGCTAGTGCACTAACCTCTCCGCTGGAAGAGAAGAAGGAAGCACCAGTTTCCTCCGCAGGACTGCAGGGAAAGAGCCAGTAGCAGCACCAATCCCTGCTCCTGCAGCCTGCCCTTCTCCTGACTGCGCAGGCGCATGGAACTCCAGGCCTGGGCGGAGCGCGAGCCATGCAAGCCACGTGACTGTCCGACCACGTGACCCGCACCGCCGCGACCTCTTCCGCTCCCTAGTCGCTGGGACCTCCCGGTCCCTGCCTACTTCCGCCTTCCGCTCGCTTCCTAATCCCGCTCCTCTCGTCGCCCTCTACTGTCCCCGCCTTCGTCCCCGGATGATCGCGTGCTAGTACCAACCGTCGCTTGCCACTTGTACGGGCGCCAAATAAAGTTTCCTCATTCAAAAGCTTTTTTTTTTTTTAAAGCGACATCGCTCCCTTTCTCTGCTCCTCCTCCTAGCGGAACCGTCTTTGTTCTGCTGCCGGTGCGACCCGAGCGTTGGAGCCATTAGCGCGGAACGTAATGGCGAAGCCACCGCCGTCTCTCTCGGGACAGGACGTAGGGTTTGTCTCGCCTTTCTCCTCCCCACTTCTGCGGAAAGCCGGGCCCCGCCGGGAACGTGTGGGTGACAAGCGGAGGAGGGCTCCTGCTCCCCCGCGGGCTGTTCGAGTCCCGCGGTCGGGCTTGGCTTCCCAGGGGCGCCTTTTCGGGTTTCGAAGGCTGGCTTGGAGGCGAAAGCGAGGCGGCCCCAGGGGAGGGAGTCCGCCCGCTGCGGCTGGTCGCAGGGGTCAGGACTTGGATCAGTTTTGCAGTCTTTTCCTCGCGGTCACTTTTTATTTATTCACTTTAACCAAGGTGCTTTCGGGGCAATTAAAATTCTCCCTAAAAGTTGGGATTCTCAGATCTATTGAAAATGTGTTTCTTCCTGTTGCCGATCAAATCATCGTCTCACGATAAAACTTGTAACTTTTTGCTTTTTAGTCGTCACCTTACAGATTGTGGGCAAAGTTGTGGACGACCATAAAAATAACATCCATTTGCATAAATTGAATGTTTATATTCGGAATAGGTCCTTCAAAATGTTGCAAAAGATGGGAACACTTTGAAGAAAATGGCCCTAGCTGGGCAGGAAGGAGATTTATGCCAGAGAGAAAACAATGGCCCACAATTTAAGCAGGCATTCACTCTGACGGTCTTGCAAATATAGGGAGTGAGTGTCTCCTTAAAACTTGCGCCAGAGGCACAGTTGGCCTCACCCTGGCCGGGGACCTTACCCCGGAGGTGTAGGCGTCTGTCGGTGAAAATGTAGTGGTTAGAGAAATAGTAATACTTTATAATTAAAGTAAAATCTCAAAGGACTGTCACTTGTATCTGCTGCCTTGGAAAATTCAAATGTGAATTGATTGAATGTTCCTTCTGTCCCTCCAAGGTATTAGTGATTTTAAAAAATTAATTCTAATCAGAGTAGTTATTGTGCACATTAAACCTAATCACTGTTTTAGGATACTCAAAGCACCACGGAGCCAGAACGTATTTGCAATTTTTTTAAAAAAATTCTATAGCTATCATTTGAGGAAATGGTTTAAAGACATAAATACTCAAAGTACAACCCAATAATTTAAAAACTGTCTTTTGTGACCTGAAGATATAAACACTGATCAGCTAAGCTCCGTGCTCTATGTTTAAAACTGCCCAGAATTTCACCATCCAGTAGCCTGTTTTTTTCTAACTGAATTATATGTATTTCCTAGGAAAATATAATTATATAAGATGATAATCTGTAACTCTTGGTTTTTGTATAAAATCAAGAATATTTTTTATTTTTTAACCTAAGTATAAGTTTTTCCTCATCCCCAGCTTTCTTCATTCTTTGGTACTTATATAAAATCTCTAATTTTTTGGCTGGGAGAGTGAGAGTAGCGTGCCTTAATTTGTTTAGGGGCAGAATAGGATGGAAGGAGAGTGCTATAGAGTGCAGCCAGGAAAACCTTTGAAAAGATTTAAAATTGACTTAGAATATAGACTGAGACAGAGAAGAGAAATAGGTTCATAAATAGTGTCAACGGAAAGAAGACCAAACTCTGTAAAATAATTTTGAAGAAATTTACTCTGAGCCAAATTTGAGGACCATGACCTGGAGCCACACCCAAGAGGTCTTGAGCAGTGGACTCACTGGGGTTGGGTTATAGTTTGGTTTTATACATTTGAGGGAGACAGGGGTTACAGGTAAAGTCATAAATCAATATGTGGGAGGCATACATTGGTTTGGCCCAAAAAGGTGGGCCATCTGGAAGTGGGGGCTTACGGGTTATAGGTGGGTTTAAAGATTCTTTGGCTTGTAGTTGGTTAAAGACATGAAGCTTTGTCTAAAGGCTTGGAATGTTTCAACATAAGGAGCTCTTTATCAGAGATAAGCCACTGGACATAGATTTGTTGTGTAAATTGAGGACCTACAGGTTTGTCTTGCATACTCTTAGGCCTGTTAATGGGTTACAAAGGATGTCCCCAAGAAGGGAGAGGGGCATGATAAAGCATAGTCTGACCTCCTTCCTCCTGGCAGCCAATATAGTTTTAGGATATTCCTTTGGCCACGAGGGGGTCCATTTAGTCAGCCGGTAGGGGGAGGGTGAGCCTTAAAATTTTATTTTAGTTCACAATTGCTTTAATTCTTTGTTCTTCAAGCACATTAGCATCTTTAAGGCTGTTTTTTATGCATTGCCTCGTTCATCTTTCTAAGGAGGTGAAGTCACTTAGTAAGTAATAGACCTGAGACAAGAGCCTGTTTAGGCTAATCCTTTTTCTCTCCTATCACATTGTTAATCTACTTATTGATTCAGGAAAATAAAAGGAATAGAATAAGAAAGGTAAGACTAATTAGACTCTAGAGGAGAATTTGGGATTAGAGGCACCAAGACTATTTAGCTTCCATGACATACCAGACAAATTTTTAGATTTTCTTATGTTTTGATATAGTAGTCACACAGTACTGTTTTACCTTTTTAATAGCTACATAAGAAGGAATTTTAATTTAAATGGGGTGTTCCCGAAACTAAGATAGCCTTTATAGCAGTGGTCCCCAACGTTTTTGGCACCAGGGACCGGTTTCATGGAAGACCTGGTTCCTAAGTTTCATGGAAGACAGTTTTTCCATGGAAGGGGAGGGGAGGAGGGAGGAGGGTGGGGAGGAACTGGAAGGGGTGGGGTGAGGGATTGGCTGAGCACAGGCAGTGACTCGGCCTGGTTCCTAACAGGCCACGGACCAGTACGATTGGGGATCGCTGCATTATAGTATTGATGCTCCTAAGTAATATATTGTATGTGACTCGTTTTTTCTAGATCATTTGCCTACCTTACAATTAAAGACAGAACACCACAGATCTTAACTAGGGCTATTGATACATTGCATCGACATAAAAGTGAATTTTTTGAGAAACATGGAGAGGTAAGAATTGTGTTTTAACTTTAATTTTTTGTTACTTCTTTAACAGAAACACAGTAAGTAGTTACTGAAGTTATCAGTTTTCCTGTAAAGTGTAAAAGTGAATACACGGGCCAAATATTTATCTGGCTGTAATATAATAGGTTGAAATGAAGTATAATATAAAGTATATGAAATGAAGTGTAATATAAAATGAAGTATAATGAATATAATGTGGTAGTCAAGAATAGAACAGCCAATCCCATTCAGAAAAAAATTGTGTTCCAACAATTAATTCTGTCAGTTATTTAGACTTCAGAACATATTTTCTAATACATACAATGTTATAAATGGTGACTAGGTTGTTGACTTGCTCAGGAAAGCTTTTTAAATTTTAATTTAGCTGAATTGCAGTATTTATGTTAATAATTTAAAATCTTCAGTCCTGAAAGCTCAGAGTGCTATGCCAAACTCAAGGTGAAGAGTGATATGATTGATTGACACATTATGCTGATTAAAGGTGAGAAAGACTCATTAACATTCAGAGCAGGGTGGACTTTATTTTATTTTATTTAGAGATGGGGTCTTGCTCTGTCACCCAGGCTAGAGTGCATTGGCACGATCATAACTCACTGCAGCTGTGAACTCCTGGGTTCAAGTGATCCTCCTGTCTCAGCCTCCCACGGGATGGGACTTTAGAAATCACCTTATCCATTCGGTTACTAGATGAAGAAAAATCCAAATAACTATACATAACTGTATTTTGTAGGTACAGGTCTTTAAACTTGCAAGTTCAGTAATCTTTCTGTTACTCAGTAGACTGTAAAAGAGCATGCATATACCAGTACATTTGTTTTTTAAAGAGTTAACAACAAAGATATAGAGAAATGGTTGGTGGTCTTTTCTTCCTGGCCAAATAGAGATGGAGCAAGTCAGCACACAGACAGTTTGAGCATATTGTGTTTCTTTCAACCTCTTTTATATTGTCTTCTTTGAAACTAATCCTGGCACAATACAGGGATCACCTGTTCTTTTGCTGAGATCTAGCTTATCTTGGACACTGACTTTTATTTTTTAAGTGTTAAATATTCTTTATTTGATATTACACATAAACGACACTAAAATGCTTTTCAGTAAATAAAAGGCAGCATTTTAGTAGACAGGGAATTAGATTGGCACAGTAAAGAACAAAAATATAAAGTAAACATTGATACCTGTCTCCAGCCCTCGCCTTTAACAGGTTAATGAACACAAATTAAAACTCTAGTGAGCCTTGCTTGGTTCTAATACAGTGAAGGGGTTTCCCTAGTATTTAAATATATTCACATAATCAGTTATGTAAATCTAAATATAAAACCAATCTTCATTAGGTTTTGAGATGGCAATTTACCATCTTTATGAAAAGTTGAACATTACTAATTAAGTCCAATCATATCTTCAGAAGGAGAAAACAGTGATAACACTTACTGAATTGGAATTATTATCAAAATTCAAAAAACTGATCATATTCATTTAACCACAAGCCAGCCTTAGTTAAATCAGGACTGTCCAACAAAAATATTCTGATACTCATTCATGATCTGAATTCTGGTGTGTGAGACCAATTAAATTGTGATACACATAAAAAAGTCATGAGACATTTCTGTTTTATAATAAATAAGGCAGTGGCCAATTATTACTCATTAGTAGCTTTTTTGAGATAAGCTGTCAAGTCTGCCCTTTCTGCCTACTTCTTGATGCTGGTGAAGGCCATTTTCATTCCAGGGATGTACTTCTTGGGAGTCTCTAAATACTCCATCAGTGTATCCTCTCCTCAGGTGATGCCTTTGTTCTTACTGGTGTCTGGTTAAGAGAATCCAGCAGCCTAACCCATCTTCCACCCAAAGAAGCCATGGAGATTTGCCCCAGTCTTGTGCTTGCCTCCCTTTTCCAGGGTGTGACCCTGGGCACACTTTGGAACAAAAATCTGCCTGCCTTTCTCAATATCACCCATGTTTAATTCTCTCTTTGGTTGCTGACAGTACAAAGGTTCCCCCTCTGAAGCCCGACATGCCACCCTCTAAGGCACTGACATTTCTGTTGATGAATGGTTTTAATGGTTTATCACAAAAACATGGTTTTGTTTTGATATATGCACACCTTTAGCACACAAGTATATTTTAGCCAAGTTTGGGTTGTTCACTTCAACATTTTGTCATATACTTAAATAATCCCTGCGCGGCCGCAGCCTGCTAGCAGCGATGCCAACCCGCTGGCCCGTGGCTGTGGAGCGGGTGAGCGCGCGGGCCAGGCCAAAGCTCCACTGTCGGCGCGGCGTGGGCCTGTCTGCGGCCCTGGGGGTGTCCGCGCGGCTCCTGAGCGCAGTCATCATGGGGGCCCCGGGCTCCGGCAAGGGCACTGTGTCGTCGCGCATCACCCAACACTTCCAGCTGAAGCACCTCTCCAGCGGGGACCTGCTCCAAGACAACATGCTGCGGGGCACAGAAATTGTGTGTTAGCCAAGGCTTTCATTGACCAAGGGAAACTCATCCCAGACGATGTCATGACTCGGCTGGCCCTTCATGAGCTGAAAAATCCCCCCCAACATAGCTGGCTTTTGGATGGTTTTCCAAGGACACTTCCACAGGCGGAAGCCCTAGATAAAGCTTATCAGATAGACACAGCGATTAACCCGAATGTGCCCTTTGAGGTCATTAAACAACGTCTCACTGCTCGCTGGATTCATCCAGCCAGTGGCCGAGTCTATAACATTGAATTCAACCCTCCCCAAACTTGACGATGTGACTGGGGAGCCTCTCATTCAGCATGAGGATGACCGACCAGAGACGGTTATCAAGAGACTGAAGGCTCATGAAGCCAGTCCTGGAATATTACCAGAAAAAAAGGGGTGTTGGAAACATTCTCCAGAACAGACACCAACAAGATTTGGCCCCACGTATATGCTTTCCTGCAAACTAAAGTTCCACAAGCAAACCAGAAAGCCTCTGTTACTCCATGAGGAGACTTGCGTATAACTAGTAAGATGAGCAAAACCTCCTTGTCCTTGCATTTAGAAGCTTCTTTTCTTATGACTCCACCTTGTATGAATATTCTTTTTTTTTTTTTTGAGACAGAGTCTCACTGTGTTGCCCGGGCTAGAGTGCCGTGGCGTCATCCTAGCTCACAGCAACCTCAAACTC